AATGTTCCCCTCAAATCTTTTGAACTCAGCAGTTCTGCAGTCTTTCTTCTGCAGCCCAGAAAGTGAGACTTGAGCTGCAGCAGCATCCTGCACCTTTGCATCGTGACAATGTTGTGGTTTTTATGTCCTTATAATCAGTAAATTCAATCTGTTCCAAAACATCTCGATCTTGATGTGTTTTCTCTACTTGATAAACACTTCTGTTAAAAGGAGTACAGTTAATTGACTCATCTACCAGATTTGCTGCTAATATTCTCATATAATGCAACAGCGTCTGTATCAGGCTCATGTGAGAGTTTCGTGCCACAGGTAACACCACTGTACAGGCTTGAGTGGGTTATAGGGAGAGACTTGGTTTTAAACATGTCTCACATGTGTTCCTTGAATATCTACTAGGAATTTCCATTATTTTGGTTATTGGTCATAGTTACAAAAACATGTATGAAGTATTTACAAAATAACGGCAGAAATATACTTTAGGTAAAGCCCACCCTGCTTAAGCAGGTACAGCAATCAATGATCTCATAGCTTTGCTGCTGCTACTTGTCACGCGTGCTAAGTCGCTTCAGTCATATTGGACTGGACTGTAGCCCACTAAGCTCCTCTGTCCATGGGATTCTCCAGGCCAGAATACCGAAGTGACTTGCCATTTCCTTCTCCAGGGGATCTTCTCAACCCAGGGGTCAAACCCACATTTCTTATGTCTCCTGCAGTGGCAGGAGGGTTCTTTACCACTAGTGCCACCTCGGAAGCCCAAGTGTCTTTAAAAAGACTACAAACTTTGAGCCTCTCCCAAAACTGCTAAAACATTACTGTCTTAGGATAAAAAACATTACTGTCTTAGGAATTCCCTGGCGGTTTGGTGGTTAGGAGTCTGCGTTTTCACTGACAGGGGCTCTGGTTCAGTCCCCGGTCAGGGAACTAAGATCCCACAAGCTGTGAGCTACTGGCAAAAAACACTCAAAAAACAACTCACTGCTGTCTTCACGGCTGTGTGACCTCAGCAAGTTGTTCCAGCTCTCTGAACCTCAGCTTGCCATCAGTCAAGGTGGAGAGAAAGAGGAGCATTTAGCGTTACTGCGAGAGTGAAGTGAGGTAATGGGACCAGTGCTCACCATGGAGCTTGGTGCCAATATTCACCTTCTGTTTGTCTTCTGTTTGTGCAAAACTCAAATAAGTGTGAGCAAAGAGGGGGTGAATTTTAGTTGACAAGAAACACAGTGTTACCTGTTTGCTCCTAAATCATGTAGACAAAGAATTCCTGCCAGAACCTTAAGTGTTCATTAGAAATGTTAATTATGAGTTGAGCATTTGGACTGTTGTTTGTAATAAATACTCTTACACTTTGAGAACCAATCCTTAGGGATGCAAGGAAACTTAACATTGTGCCATAGAACTTACAGTTAATCACCTGAGGCAGACAGAAGTAAAAGACAGCAGAGGGCATAGGTCTTTTAATTCTGAAAGTATTGCTCTTTCCAACAAGGGCAGCTGTGGTTGTGGAAAGACAGGTTACTGAACTTTTGAGTCAGAAAACCAAGGAAAATACCTACAAAAAATAAACCCGAAACAATCGAGAAAATGGTAATAGGATCATACATATCAGTAATTACCTTAAATGTAAATGGATTAAATGCACCAACCAAAAGACAGACTGGCTGTGTGGATGAAAACATTTGCATGTGTGCACTTCCACTTACCACATCTTTCTACTTCACCCCCCAAATTGTATGTAATTTTGTGTATAATTGTGTTGTATATTGTTAGGTTAACCATGTTTCCCTTATGGCTCCCAATTGTAATTATCTTTTATTTTTTGTCTGACTGTTGGTTGTGAAAACTGCTGCTGCTGCTGCTGCTAAGTNAATAAAAGTATTACAAACAAAGGCATGATTTTATAAACATGAATATTACAAAACTCTAAAAACTTAATTGCTTAACAGGTCAAAAACAGGTTCTTTAGTGCTAGTGTGGTCTATAGAAAGTGAAAGTGCAGTCGCTCAGTCATGTCCAACTCTTCGTGACCCCATGGACTACAGCCCACCAGGCTCCTCCGTCCATAGCATTTTCCAGGCAAGAGTACTGGAGTGGGTTGCCATTGCCTTCTCTGTGTGAAAACTGATAAACACCTAAACATCTTTTACTGTTGTGATTATGTAACCATTCATTTAATGCCATCATACCATGATTGGTCAACAGAAAATAATAGAATTCTATAGCACTGAACACTACCACTTAATAGAATAAAGAAAAAGAAAACCCAGCTTAAGACTAACCAAGTTCAGGCACTTTCTGTAGCTGTGACTTTGCAGAAGTAACAACCAATATGTACCACAGTTTGCTCATCTGTAAACGAAATAATGATCTTTTCTTAGGGGGTTTTTAAGGTTAAATGAGTTAAGGTATGTTATAAATTTTGTAAATAAAAAGCAGTGTATCAAATTTGAAATTATGGGGACTTCCCTGGTGGTCCAGTGGTTAATACTCCACGCTCCCAATACAGGGGTCACTGGTTCAATCCCTGGTTGGGGAACTAACATCTTGCATGCCTCACGGCACTGCGTTAAAAAAAGTTTTGTTTGAAATTATATCAAAACATAAAGTTTCCAAACAACATTAGTAACAAAAAGCACCCAAGAAGAAAAGGGTAGGAACCCAGGCAGATCCAGGATTGTATATAAAGAGCAGGGCAGTCCCATCAAGTTATTGCTAAATCAGTTGTATGTCACTGTGGAGCATTCATCTCCCAGGGAGAGAGTTTACTTACTTAGTCTGGTCGACATCAGGTGCTTTGCCTTCAGCAAGGGACTGTGGGCACCTGGATTGAGGTCCCACCAGTTTGTATCTCATATAAGAGGGGTGGGTCCTGCAGAGCAAAATCAGGATGCTGTGACAAGAGTAAGGGGAAATGGGTGCTGGGCAGGCATAAGCATCAAGCAAATGCCTCAGGAACAGTGCAGACATAAGCATCCTCTGTGTGTATGTAAGGGTTTTATCACAGAGGAGGAAGAGAATACCTTTAAGAATCAGCAATGGCCAATCACAATGACTAATATGGGACTTCCCGGGTGGCACAGAATCCACCTGCCAGTACAGGAGACATGGGTTCGCTCCCTGGATCAGGAAGATCTCCTGGAGAAGGAAATGGCAGCCAACTCCAGCATCCTTGCCTGGGAAATCCCATGGACAGAGGAACTTTGTGGGCTACAGTCCATGGGGTCGCGGAGTCGGACACGACTAAGCACACACACACAATGGCTCATATATTTGCAAATTTTGTTTGTGAAATTTCCTTGAGTTTTGTACCTATGATAGATGAACTTTTCAGTATGTATAGTTTATTTAAACCTTGAAGAGCTTAACTTCTGCCATATATTAATATTCCCAAATAGATATTACATGCTGAGTTAAGAGCTATCAAATCATGCTAATGTGTATAACCTATTGAAATGCTCACTTTTACTCATGTGCACTTAATCTTCAACAGTTCCTGTAAATAGATCAAGATTTTGTGTGAATTCTGTTGATTATGTTAATATTTTGTCAAGATGATCTTTGAGAAAACCAGAGAATGTATTTCTTAACATGGAGGACATTCCTAATAGTGGTCATTTTGATCAGGTAATTTTTTATATCTGAGGATGAGTTTAAAATTATGAACACTTATGATGTGTCTGGTATTTTTACCTCCTCAACTTGTTATTTTCTTATCTAACACACAAAAACCCACAGAACAAAGACCTATCACCCCCCTCCCTGGACACACAAATTTTAAGGTAAAGTAAGATTAAAGAAAAGAAAGAGTATGTTAGATATCCTTTGAGTTATAGGGTTGGTTTTTTTTTTTTTTTTAAGGGTAGTTGATTTATAATGTGTTAGTTTCAGGAGCCTTCCCTTGTGGCTTCGCTGGTAAAAAAATCCGCCTGCAATGCAGGAGACCTGGGTTCGATCCCTGAGTTGGGAAGATCCCCTAGAGAAGGGGAAGGCTACCCACTCCAGTATTCTGGCCTGGAGAATTCCATGGACTATATATATAGTCCATGGGGTCGCAAAGAGTTGGACATGACTGAGCGACTTTCATTTTTGAAAAAGGAAATGGCAGGTGCAAGCAAAGTGATTCCTTTGTACATAGATACATACAGATATATAGATTCTTTTTCAGATTCTTTTCTATTATATCAATAGGTTATTATAAGATATTGAATATAATTCCCTGTGCTATACAATAGACCGTTGTTACTTATCTATTTTGTGTGTAGTAGTTTTTATCTCCTAATTTGTCCCTCCCTCTCCATTTCTGCTTTGGTAACCATAAATTTGTTTTCTATGTCTGTGAGTCTGCTTTGTAAATAAGTTATCTGTATCATTGTTTTAGATTCCATATATAAATGGCATCATATGATATTTGTCTTGCTCTGTCTGACTTAGTACGATCAGCTCTAGATCCATTCATGTTGCTGCAAATGGCATTATTTCATTCTTTTTTTGTGGCTGAGTGATATTTGAGTTATAGTTTGAATTCTGTTTATAGGAAGGCTGTTTCACCACCTTGCCTGTCACCTTTTATGTGTCTAGCACATGTGGTGAGAACCTGTGACCCACAGGGAAGATAAAGAGACTCTCCAGCAAGTGTAGGATGCAAATGGAGCTCTCTTTTTTTTCCTAATAACTAATTTTTATTAGAGTATAGTTGATTGACAACGTTATGTTAGTTTCTGCTATGCAGCAAAGAGAATCAGCTATCTGTATGTATGCATCCCCTCTTTTGGATTTCCTTCCCTTTTAGGTCACCACAGAGCGCTGAGTAGAGTTCCCAGTGCTGTTCAATAGGTTCTCATCCGTTGTCTATTTTATAATAATGTAGATGGAGCTTTCACTCGGCAGAACTGCTCTTAGTATCCAAGGTGTCATTAAAATACGGTTTCCACCCATGAACCCCCAGTGGTGGATCCTTAATTCCTGTCAAGGAGAGTGACGTGTTCTTGGTTTGTGTCCTGTAGATTCTGCCGTTCTTGCATCGCTACCAGTCTAAAGAACAATAAATGGACCTGTCCTTACTGCCGGGCTTATCTTCCTTCCGAAGGAGTTCCAGCAGCTGATGTCGCCAAGAGAATGAAATCCGAGTTCCGCAATTGCACCGAATGTGACACTCTGGTAGGTCACCTTGCCTTTGCTCAGCTTAGACCGCCGAGAAAATTGTTAGACAGCCAGTCATTTCACCTCTGCCTTTGACCTCATCCTTCTCGAATTTCAAAGTTTATTGTCTCAGTCTCTCCTCTTCCTTTCCTCCAGTTTCATAAGTATGGACTTCAGGAGAGCCGTCACCTGATGCCCACCATCACCTAATTTCTCAAACAAATGCTTTCATCGACCACCTCCATTTCCTCCCTTCCCATTGCTCCCCTCACCCCTTATTATGTGGCCTCTATTATGTTATTGTAGCCCACCCAGTGAATAGCTTTATTTTCAAGCCCAGTGGCGTACTTTCATCTCTACTGTTCTGGGCTTTGCTGTATTTATCTCTGTTGACCACTGCCTCCGGTTACTGTTTTCCTCCGTTGATACTATACTAGTCTGGTTAGATCATGTGAGGTCTTAGAAGCTGTGTCAAAGATTCTAGATTTTATCTTAAATGCCATAGGGAGTCATAGAAAAAGTGTAAGCTTTTGATCAGGTTTATATTTTTAAGCTCTCACTCAGGCATGTGCATGGAGAATGGTTTGGAGGGAGCAAAAGCAGAATTGGTGGAGACAATTTAGTGGCCTTTAGGACAGGTGGTTAGGAAGCTGGGTTAGGGTAAGAGCATTAAGTATGGAATAAGAGGTTGTTTCAGGGTGTATTTAAGAGAGGGATTGAAGAAAATTGGTAAGTAACTGGATGTGGGGATGCATAAGAGTGAGGTGTCAAAGATGACTCCCATGTTTCTGAGATGAGTAGGTGAAAATGCTAATATGGGGAGCAAATTTGGAGAAGAATCTACAGAGTTAAGTTTTAAGTTTTACATACATCACGTTTGAACTGCTAAGGGGAATATATCTAGATATTACCAGTCTAGAAATCAAAAGGGAGATCGTGTACTGAAGATCTAAATTTCTTAGAGAACCTTTCTTGATTGTTCATCTAAATTATAATCTCTTAAACACTTTCTCTTAGCACTCTGTGCTTTCTCTTTATAGCACTTATCACCATTTATAATTATGCTTTTGTGACTTTTTTAAGTTTAATGTCCATTATCCATTATCCCCACCAGATTATGTGAGGGTAAGGATTGTGTCTGTTTTATTGGGTTGTGTATCAAGAACTTTGAATAGTGGCTGGAACATAGTAAATGCTCAAATGCATTTTTAAAATATTTATGTAAGACCTAAATCTGTTTTTGACTACGGAATCTATGCATGGTCTTTGGAGTCAGACATCTTAGGGTTGAGCACTGATTCTCTCACTTACTGTTTATGATTTGGGGCAAATTATTAATCTGAGTTTTTGTTTGAGTCTTTGTAAATTGAGGGAAAAGATAATGTTCGTGTCACAGGGTGGTTGTAAAGATTAAAGACAAACCACAAGTGGCTTTTAGCACTGTATGCTCAGTCGTATTGGACTCTTGCAACCCCATCGACGGTAGCCCACCAGGCTCCTCTGTCCATGGGATTTTACAGGCAAGAATAGTGGAGTGGGGTGCCATTCCCTTCTCCAGGGAATCTTCCTGACCCAGGGATTTAATTGCATCTCTTTCATCTCCTGTATTGGCAGGCATATTCTTTACCACTAGCGTCACTGGATGGGATTCATTTTAGTACTGTGGAAATGAATGTTCAAATCAATAGCTCAAAATCAATAGCTTTTCACATTCTTAGTAATCATTATTGCTAATTTTTATTTTGATAGTTTGCCATCGTTTAAAATTCAACATGCAAAAAATCAAACTCAGCATATTATTTTGTTATCCAGTTCTTTATCCCCACTTTGGTACCTGTCAGAAACAAGAACATTCTCTCTATTATCCTGGGTCAGAATCTGCTTCCTTTTTTCCACTCCCTATTTCTGATTATTCACAAGTATTTTTATCTATCCTTTGGGAGATTTCTTTGTATCCGTCTCTTCTTGCTGGAATGTTAGGCATTCTCAACTCTGCTTCCTGTGAGTCCTGGCCAGATCTCCGTTCCATGAGTGTTGTTGTCCGCAGTATTGAACCGTTTCCTATCTACTTGTCTTCGCATTTTTTGTTCATTTGTTTTTCCTCAATTAGATTATAAGCACCTTTAGTGCAAGCCCAGTGGCTTATACTCCTGCCGCCATGGACAACCACTTTCAGTTTTGTGTCTGGGGTAGACACCCTGTGAATTTATCAATTCACTTGTCAGGATACAATCCCCAGATTGCTACATTTATATGAGGAATGTTGATCAAGGACTATAAAGAGGAAAGAGGAAAGAGACTTTTAACAAAAGTCACAGGGAGAGTAGAAAGCAACTGATGTGCAAAGTTGGATGTTAAATGTTGTAAAGCAGTCTGTTTTAAGACAGCTGCCTAGATCAGGCCTAGCTTTTACATCTTTTTAGATGGATAAAGCAAGGATTTGTTGCTAACATTTCCATTTGCTTTTATTTTTGTCTTTTGTGAGCAGTTATGTCTGCTTCCTTGAGATGGTAGTTTCATGTTTGAGGTTGAACTTCCGTAGCTTGGGCAAAATGAAGCAGGGTGGGTCGGCCACCTTACCACAACTCTAACAAAGCTTCCTTTAGCCCAAGATCTTATCAGAGTTTCTAATGACACATTTAGTAGAATATGTACTATGCAGCAACAGATCCCTCATGGTTAGGATCTCTGAATGTATATCTGGAAGGACAAGGGCTCTTTATTCTGCCTTCATAAAAATGGACTGCAAGAGCTGTCCTTTATATTTGCTGTTAATGGGGCCATTAAGTATACTGTGTATTGTGAATTCATGTAATGCTACTGGATGTATTATAAAGCCATGGTATTTATATCTTTCCCTGAAGCACAGGATTTCTTTTTACTTATTCCGGACATCTCTAAAATCCATCTATTTATTCTTTTTATCTCTCTCTGTTTTTCTTTCTCTCTCTTTTAACTTTTTTCCCCCCTTTCCTTCCTTTTGCTCTTTTTCCTCTCCTCTTTTTCTTTCTTCCTTCTTTCCATCACTAATTTAGGCAATAGTATCCAAAAAAAGTAAACTTGACTTAATATACATCTTTTCACTTTGAAGAACATATGCTTTCTAAAAGAACCAAATTCAAGAACTCAGCTTCTGGATCTTCTAATGATAAAGAAATTTTAAATTAGTGTTATTCTTGATAATGCCTTAAATTGATTGAACTATTACCTTGACTGCTTCCTTTTAATCTACTGACCCCACATTATGACCTTATTTGAAATAAAGAAAGCAGTGAAGTTGGGTCACAAAAGACTTCATTGACTGAAGTGAGCCTCTTTTCAACAGTGAGCTTATTTTGATCTGCTTTCCTATAGGTTTGCCTCAGTGAAATGAGGGCACACATAAGAACATGCCAGAAGTACATAGATAAATATGGACCACTGCAAGAACTTGGAGAGACAACAACAAGGTTTGTTTCTATACACTTTGGTTTAGTGCTACATTTGGCATGCTTATAAAGAATTTAATGGGCTGGAAAGCTTAATATTTTTATTATGAAAATATGTATATGGTTGTTTTGGCTCCTAATCATAATACCTCTTGTTAGTAATCGTTTGTTTTCAATGATTAATAGCAGTAATTACAAAAGAATTTTGCTCTCTCTGCTTTAAAAACTTTGGGGAGAACCAGCTGGACACTGGAGAGATTGGGGAAGCTTCCGCAGACAAGTTTACATGGAGGAAGATCCAGAAATAGAAAGCAGAACTGTTCAGTTTCTGCTAGGCTCTGTGTTGTGACTAACAGTCCTGAAGTAGATGATGGTTATGAGATTATTGTCGTTAGTTTTCCATCACCACTACCCAGTCTCCCAGCTCGTTCCCTCTCATTTTCCTGCTTCCTCTTTATAAGGGACAAAGTGACATCTCAGTATATATTCTAACATGAAAGAACACGTGTGGGGCAGGCATTCTGAATCCTACAACCTGTTTGCTGGGTAATCTTATATGGGGCTGGAGGAAGGATGGAGACAGCTAGTAGGTGTAATGGAGGATATTGATCATTAACTATTTTTTCTTAAAAAAGAAGGAAACAAATCTAGGTCATTAAAACTCCAGGAGATAGTAGGGGGTGGGGGAGCCTGGCATGCTGTAGTTCAGAGGGTCCCAAAGAGCTGAACACAACTTAGCAACTGAATGACAACTATTCTGAATGGCAGAGGAATTACAAAGTTTGGCATTTGCTTCTGCCGAAGAAATAGAGAAATGCTTTGTGTACTCCTGAATGGAGATAATGGCTTTGAAACCATTGAGTCTTCCTTTGAATTCAGCTATCCAGTAGAGGTATTCAGTATAATTTCTTTTCCTCTCCTGAAGATAAATGTTAGTTATGCTTATTTTAAGAAATTATATGTATAGCACAGGACAAAATACTTAATATTTTATAATAATCTATCAAAGAAAAGAATCTGAAAAAGAATGTATATACATGTATATATAACTGAATTACTGTGCTATTTGCCTGAAACTAACACAGCAGTGTAAATAAACTCTACTTCAATAAAAAAAAAAATTTTTTTTTTTTTAAGATAAACAAAGGGAATGCCCTAGCACTCCAGTGGTTAGGACTCTACACTTTCACTGTCAAGGGCCCAGGTTTGATCCCTGGCTGGGGAGCTAAAATCCTATAAGCTGAGCAATGCAGCCACAAAAATATTAAAAAAAAAAAAATACTACTCAAATATAGCTTAAATTTCCTAATCCAGAAGTCTACATGTTTTTCTAGAGGTTACTTTGCAATGCACCTTTTATTATAGGACTAGATTTATTCCATACTGCTATAAATTGTGAGTATTTTAGCTCTAAGAAGAGTATGGATTCTGTTAGACTAGCCCCAGGGACCAGTAGGAAGGAACGCTAACAAATGAGTTGAACAAGCATGTGGTTTGATCGGAAAGTTGATATGAAAATTTTAAAGTATATGAATACTAATTTATCCTGCTAGTTAGAATTAAATAACAAAGAATTAAAATAACCAAAATGAGAAGGGTTGTTGATTAATCAGTCTTACAAGATAAATATTTGCATTTAACATAGAAATCTTTGCTTTATAAAATTTACAACATAATTCAAATTTTTTAAGTTCTTATGCAAAGAAACTATCCAAAATACGTGTCTTGGGGAACAGGAAGTTATATCTATGATGGAAAATGAGAGAAAAATTCCAAGCCTCCATATTGCCCCTAAGAATTTAAGGCAGCACTATGCAATGGAAATATAATGCAGAACACATGTAATTTTAAATTCTCTAGTAGCAATATTCAAAAAGTAAAAACAAGTGAAATTAATTTTTCATGTATTTTATTCAACTGATTATAGCCAAAATATTCTCCTTGGAACATGTAATCAATATATAAATTATTGAGATGTTTTATTCTTTATGTATATATAAAGCCTGCAAACTTCAGAGAGTATTTTAAACTTCTAGCACATCTCTGTTTGGACTGACCATATTTCAAGTGCCTGGTAGACACATACCTAATAGCTACTCCATTGGACAACACAGATGCAAAGGACAGGTACTCCTAGATGTGCATAAAGATGTAATAAGGTAGTTGTGGGCTGTTTTTCATTCTTCACTGGATGCTAATACTGTGAGTTGACACCTGTGGTTATATTTGCCGGTGTTGTCAGATATTCTGGTTGGAGAACAAGTAACACCCAATTCAGATGTTAGCTGAATTAGAAAAAGAAGTAAAAGAGACAGAAAAAGTAACATAGATACAGCTGGGTGGTATGATCCTCTGTTTCTCAGTTAATGGAGTGCTCAGATTGTACTTTTCTTCCAAAGAAAACAAAGTGCTTCAGGTGCACTATAACTGTGTCTCTGTCCTGCCCTTATGAGGTTACACATTTGCATTGCTCATGAGAAAAAATGTAGGCACCAAGATTATCATCAGGATAGGAAAATGAATATGAAATCGAAAGAATGAGCACTAGAAACTAGATCCACCTACATTCTGTTTTTTACCTCTAGGTAAGTGACTACTGTCTAATTATCAATAATTTCAGTAATATTTGTGTTCTATGCAATTTCCAGGTGTGTATGTCCTTTTTGTCAGAAGGAATTGGATGAAGACAGTTTGCTGGATCATTGCATTACTCATCACAGATCAGAAAGGAGACCTGTGGTGAGAAATTATGTTATTATATATTTCTGCATTATCTAAATTTGATACACATTAGAAAATCCATTTATGGGCTTCTATTTATGGATATATCATAAAAGATAATTTATGTCAAGGTTACAGTGATTCTATGACTATGAACACCATGTGAAAGTGTCGAGTTGAAACTGACAAGAATTATCAGTGTGCAGTTACTCTTTCATTTATGAAATTAGACAACATTGTCTCATACAGATAATCATGGGCGTAATCAACTAAGCAGATCTAAAATGCATAATTAAGATTTAATGTTAGTATGCTAACTGTGCTCACATCCTAAGTGAGAAACATATTTTAATAATGCAATATGGCATTATCATGCATATGGTTATCCAATAACCATATGCAATATGGTTATCATGGCATATGGTTATCATGACAATAATACGTTAGACATGAAAAGTAGAAAGTCATTCACTTTTATTAATCAATTCATTGTTTTATTTCAGAGTCTGAATATTCATCAATAGGCTCACACATTAAACATGCATATTGCTTATCATTTCCTTGATCTATTGTGAATGCTGCCTTTTTTTCATTTCAACCTGGCACTTTAGTTCTCCTTTGCAGTGTGGCTCTTATAATTTTCATTTTTGTATAATTGAGAGGTAAGGCAGGGTGATGATGGATCATCATTTACTTGGCCATTTTACTAGTTTTTAACATTTGGATTACTGCCAGTTTTTAGGATTTGAATTCACGTTCTCATACGTTTAAACTTTTCTTTCTATATCATTTTTTTCTTAGGAGGAAATTCCATAGATTGGTATTTTTGGGCCCAAGAGTGCAAGTTTTAATTAACACTCAAAACGTATTCTAAAAAGTTTGAGTCAGTTTATATTTGTATCAGCAGTTGATGAGTAAACTGCTTTCACCTTAACCTGGCCAAAATTGGGTTACATTTATTTTTAAATTAACAGAAGTAAAATGGTACCTTGAAGATTATTTTGGATTTTATCTTAGTTCTAAACAGAACTAAAATATGTATATATATGTGTGTGTGTGTTTCATATATGTAAGTTTGGGGTTTTTTAAATTTGAGTTTTAAAGTTTTTTTTTTCCCCATAAAATCCTTTGAAAGGTGGATGAGGTTGAAATGCAAGTTTATTTGATGATTGGTAGATATCTCTTACAACAATACTATGAGACAGAGATGATTATTATTTCCATTTTACCAGCAGTAAACTCAGACTCAGAGAGGTTAAGTCTTACAAGATGAGTCTTATAGCTGGTAAGTAAGCAGAGCTACAGTTTGAAGCCCAGTGTCTAGCTCTGGGGCATAAACACCTGTGCTTTACCAGCAAGTTCAAGGAAAAGCCGCATAGCACAGTCAAAGGTCTTTTTTTATTCACCCTAATGGTCCAGAGGTTTGATTCTTGGGATGGTTAGCTAGGAGCTTGATATGTGTTGGGGGAGCAGGGGAGATTGTCATGGGCTTTTCCTGTTTAAGTTGCCCTTGGAGGAACTGAGCTAAGGATGTGTTTTACGATTGGTCCCTGGGGAACCTTCCTAGAGGAAGCTTGAAGAAAGCACTGGGGGACTTCCCTGGTGGTCCAGTGGCTAAGACTCCGAGCTCCCAATGTAGGGGGCCTGTGTTCAGTCCCGAGTCAGGGAACGAGGTCCCACATGCCTCAACTAAGACCTGGCACAGCCAAAAAATAAGTAAATATTTAAAAAAGAAGAAGAAAACATTAAGATGGCATCATAATGACTAGCACATACTGAGTTTTCTTGGTTTGTCTTTTGGTTTGTTTTGGTCATGTCACAGATGGTGGGATCTTAGTTCTCCAGACAGGGAACAAACCCAGGCCTCTGCAGTGAAAGTGTCGAGTCATAACCACTGGACTGCAGGAGAATTCCCGATATACCGAATTCCCAGTGCCTCTTGAACTCAGTGAAATATAACTCAGATGACCATTATATCTACTACTGTGGGCAAGAATCCCTTAGAAATGGAGTAGCCCTCATAGTCAACAAGAGTCCAAAATTCTGTACTTGGTTGCAAGCTCAAAAACAACAGAATGATCTCTTGTTTCCAAGGCAAACCATTCAATATCAATAGTCCAGGTCTATGCCCCAACTAGTAATGCTGAAGAAGCTGAAATTGAATGGTTCTATGGAGACTTACAAGACCTTCTAGAACTAACACCCCAAAAAGATGCCCTTTTCATTATAGGGGACTGGAATGCAAAAGTAGGAAGTCAAGAGATACCTGGAGTAACAGGCAAATTTGGCCTTGGAGCGCAAAATGAAGCAGGGCAAAGGCTAACAGAGTTTTGCTAAGAGAATGCACTGGTCATAGCAAACACCCTCTTCCAACAACGCAAGAGAAGACTCCACATATGGACATCACCAGATGGTCAACACCAGAATCAGATTGATTGTATTCTTTGCAACCGAAGATGGAGAAGCTCTGTATAGTCAAAAAAAACAAGACCAGGAGCTGACTATGGCTCAGATCATGAACTCTTTATTGTAAAATTCAGACTGAAATTGAAGAAAGTAGGGAAAACCACTACACCATTCAGGTATGACCTAAATCAAATCCCTTATGATTATACAGTGGAAGTGACAATAGGTTCACAGGATTAGATCTGATAGAGTGCCTGAAGAACTATGGATGGAAGTTCCTGACATTGTACAGGAGGCAGTGATCAAGATCATCCCCAAGAAAAAGAAATGCAAAAAGGCAAAATGGTTGTCTGAGGAGGCCTTACAAATAGCTGAGAAAAGAAGAGAAGTGAAAGGCAAA